TTCTAACTTCCCCTTCCCTCTTCCTTTCCCCTCCATAAGTAGCCCTCCATCTTGGCACACAGGCCAGAGTGTGCATGTGGCTTGGCATGGGTTGCAATGCTTTCTTTTTCCAGAATAAATCCTTTTGGTGATGAAACACCTAGTCAATGTTATTTTTTTAAGTCATTAATATACACTGTGAAGTTGGAGAAGGGCTCATCTAGACTAGGAATTTTTACCTTCTAAATATGACATAACTATTTGTGTTGGGTATTGCAAATATTTAGCAGCCTATATTCAGATATTCCCTCGTTGAGAGCCACTGCACAGTTTGAGAACTGAAGGCATCATGACAGATTCTAATCAACACCTTACTGTGATTATAATCTTGGGTTGGTCACTAAACTTCCTCAATCACACTTCTTCAATGGAGAACGAAGGTCATAATTTTATCACTTCAGAGAAAGCACTTTTATAAAATTTAAATCAAATAATGCGTATAAGGTACTAAACTCAAATTGTATAGCATAAAATTTTATAATTATGTCTCATAATTAGCAAAGGTCTTAGAAGATGGGACTGAATAGCAGCTCTTCTGATATAAGTATGAAATTTCTCATTGATCTGGCAAATGTGTCAAGAAGCCAAGGAGGGTGGTGCACAAAGCTTTACCTCAAAGTCACAGCGTCCTTTCCCTTGTTGAAGAGAGAAATAGCAATTTTCTGGAGGTATCATGGCTTGTGCCTCACAACAATTCAGTGCTTTCAAAATTCAAGGTTCCTAGTAAAGCCAGTTGCAGGAAATGTTTCCATTCTGTTCAGACCAGTGTGTCTACGGGGAAACCGGGTGCTCAGAGGTGGGAACAACAATGCCAACAGCATCTAATGAGCAGATAAAGAGGAGTAATGCCTCCTCTGCAGCAGACTCGCAACATGTGCAACGTTAGGCTGGAACAGAACGTATTTGTTTCTTTTGGAGTCTTAAGTCTGACTCTGAGACTAGTGCTTGACTCCTCCTGCTCTTTTGTCTGAGAACAGAGCTTCAGTCTCCAACATTAACCATCCAGGGAGCAATTCAGACTTCTAAAAGGAGCCCTTCCTTTCAGAGACCCATCCAGGTGAGTCTGAGAGTGCAGCGGATGCTGTGGGAAGATTCAAGGAGTGCATCCCAGAATTTCCCCCTGAGGTAACCTGAGAGCCTAACCAGGCCAGCTCAGAGCTGAGAGACGACCATATCTGTGTGCTAGGTGAGCGAATATATAGTTAATACATTTAGTATATTAAATTAGTTTCCTCTTAAAAACAGTGCTCTTTGGCATAGAATTCCTTTATATATGTATAGATGGAGTTAGGGAAATGGATGAAAATGTATTAATTTTGTGTGGTCAATTCTATGAGTCTGTCATATTTTGTTTTCTCCCATTACTTTTAAACATAAACATTCTACATTTTTCACCTTGGCAGAAAAATTCTTTTGCATTCAATTAATGATTTTCTCTATCCATTTTCTAAGCATAATCTATTTATGTTTACATAGATATAAATTATAACTGTAGATACTACTTTCTACATTGCCTTTTAAAAGTATATTTTTGTGTTTTTATTTCCACATCCTTACCCATATATCTGAAATTGGAGACCTTTATTGATGTGATTAAAGTTTTGTGGGGTTTTTTTGGCTTCTCTTTTGTTTTACAATTTTATTCAGTTTTACTACTGCCAATATTTGAATACATAATATTCAACAATGTTTATTTTCCCTGCCATTTTTAATACTATGAATATTCCATACCTTAATATTTTTCCATATAAAAGCACACTACATATCAAACTACATAAATGAATAGTCAGTGAGCTCCCTGCTCATTTGACCTCACATTAGACAAAGAAGGCCCAGTACAATCAAATAAGTGTGCTATGATATCATATTCTCAGGGATAAATATGAGCAGAAAGAGGATTAATAGTTGTGGCATAAGCAGGATTTTCTAAAAAATGTTCGAGGATGATTTGTAGGTTGACAAAGAACAGAACCAGAACCAGTGCCCACCCATCAGTTGTATCACAAAAGAGATCAAAACTTAAAGCCAAAAAAAAAGCAAAGGAAAATGCTATTGAGCCATATAAACCCCAGAGTGATCTAATAAACATGGACTAGGTGCAGGAATCACAATTCAATCACAGACGGGAAGACGCTGTGATGAGGCCAGTGGAGCAGTGAAGTTCCAGTCGGTGTGTGGTCCTTGAGTCAGAGATAACTTCAGCAAGCACACTGGCTCCCTCTTCTCTCTGCACCTGGCTCTCTGCTGGGCTTTTCACTGTTATTTTTCCTTCATAGTCAGGAAATGGCCTTTTAGGCTGTCCTTGCATTTAGTGTGTTGAATTCCAGATTTGTTTCACTGTGTCCCAAAATGAGACGTGCCTTTTACATTGTGATCCAGCATTTTTGCACGACACACACACGCATGCATGCGTGAACAAAGGGAGCCATGAAATGATTATGTATGGACCCTCACTGTGTATGACAACTCTAATACTTTCTTTTGTGCCTCCTTGATTCCATTCTATTTCATTTCTGCAACTGTAATCTGACACCCTAATGGCTCCTGATCTCAGAAGATTGAGAGCACTCCTCAACATGTCCTCCACACCTAACTTCATGGAATCCTGTCATAGAATACATCTTTATCAGCCAAACTAAACTAAATCTGGAGGGGGAGAGAAGGTGTTTGTATAACATGTTATATGCCTCAGGTACTCACAGTCTAGCCAGGAACAAAGACATGGGATTAAGTAAAAATCTCCCCATGGGTGCCCTAGCACTTAGATTAAGAGCATGAGAAAGTGACCTTTTCCTGTGCTCATGTTAGAAAAAGCAAAGGTTCATGAAGGAGAGGATCCAGTCTCTCTGGAAGAGGAGTTGGAGTGTGGAGGATTGAGGGGGGTAAAAAATTCCAAAATACCAGCGGGGAGACCCCAAGCAGAGGAAAGTGAACACATAAAGGCTCTGAGCCCTGCAGCTGTGGTGTCAGGTGAAGCTGGAGTCAAGTTCAATGTGTAGGAGACCACTGTGAGGGAGGCCAGGGCTCTGTGAAAGTGGAACTGGCTGAAATTTCACAGACACTTGAGCCTCGTGTTGGAAGCTACGAAATTTTGGCTTCTATCTCCAGTGAGGTATGACTAGGGGAGGAATTTTAATCAGAGAGTTAAGGATCAGCATGTAAGTTCTCTCTGAGTCAATGTGTGCATTTGGCTAGAGGGGTGCCCACCTGTTAGATGGGAGAGATGACAGGGAACTGAAATATGTCTATGGAATTGGAGACCATGTCTTTATTGGAAGCAATAAAGACATTTGAAAGATAGAAGAAAATAATCAGCCTCATCCCATCACAGTGAAGATAACCATTAATTTACCAACAAGCAGGAAGTACACCAAGCTCTCTACATACAGTATATTGATTATCTGTCCACCATCATAGGTCAATAGATACTGCAATATCTGTCCACCATCATAGGCTGATGGATACTTCAATCTTCACCATCAGGTGAGGGTATTAACAATTATTAGGCTGTAGCCGTAACCGGTTTGGTTCAGTGGATAGAGCATCGACCCGAGATTGAAGGGTCCTGGGTTCAATTCCACTCAAGGACACATTCCTGGGTTGGGGGGTCGATCCCCAGTAAGACATGTGCAGGAGGCAGCCAATCAATGATCCTCTCTCATTATTGATCTTACTATCTCTCTCTCTCCTTCTCCCTTCTCTCTGAAATCAATAAAAATGTATTTTTTAGGAAAAGACAAAGAGAGAATCTTAAAAGCAGCAAGAGAAAAGCACTAAGTTACCTACAAGGGAGCACACATACAACTCTCAGCTGATTTCTAAAATGAAAGTTTACAGGCCAGAAGGGAGTAGTAGGAAATATTCAAAGTGATGAATATCAAGGACCTAGAACCAAGAATACTCTACCCTGCCCAGCTGCCATTCAGAATTAAAGGTCAGATAAAGACCTTCACATATCAGAAAAAGCTAAAGGAGTTCATCACCATCAAACCAGTATTACATGAAATGTTGAAAGGTATTCTTTAAGAAGGAGAAGGAGGAGGAGGAGGAGGAGAAAAATATAAAAAATAGAATGGCAATAAAAACATATCTATCAATAATTGAAAGTAAAAGTCCAGGTAAAAAAAAAACAGGGAATCTAATGAACAAAATACACTGATGAATAAAATAGAACCAGAGGCTTGGAAACATGGAACAAACTGATGAATCTCAGAGGGAAGGAAGATAGTATGGAAGAGATTAACCAAAGAACTTACATGCATACATGCATTAGCCATGGATAGAAACAGTAGCATGATGAAGGCTGGCAGTGGGTTGGGAACTGGATAAAGGTGGTAATGCGGTTGATAAAAGGGAGACATCTGTAATAATCTCAATAATAAGAATTTTTTTAAAAAAACAACACCTGTGTAATCCATGACCACCTTGGGGAAAAGGTGTGAGGAGAACAGAAATTCCTAATCAGAGATGTCATGGGTTGGGTGTGTCTTAAAGGGGATGATATGTTGAAAAAAAAGAAATGGATTACTGCAAAATATAACTGTAGCATTTCAACTATGCTAGTAATAGCCATTTGTTTAAAAACTGATCATGCTACTTTTTCTTTCCTACTAGTTACCTACACCACATGAGACAAGGCAATGATACCACAATTTCAGAATTTCTTCTCCTGGGATTTTCAGAGGAACCAGCACTGCAGCCCCTCATATTTGGGCTTTTCATCTCCATGTACCTGGTCACTGTGTTGGGAAACCTGCTCATCATCCTGGCCGTCAGCTCAGACTCCCACCTCCACACACCCATGTACTTCTTCCTCTTCAATCTGTCCTTTGTAGACATCTGTTTAACCTCCACCACTGTCCCAAAGATGTTGGTGAACATCCTGACACAGAGCAAAGTCATCACCTATAAAGGTTGCATAACACAGATTTATTTTTTCATACTATTTGCAATGTTGGATAACATCCTCTTGACCATAATGGCCTATGACCGGTTTGTAGCCATCTGCCACCCCCTGCACTACATGGTCATCATGAACCCCCGGCTCTGTGGACTGCTGGTTCTGGTGTCCTGGACCATAAGTGGCCTGAATTCCTTGTTACAAAGCATAATGGTATTGCAGCTGTCCTACTGTACAGACTTTGAAATCACCCACTTTTTTTGTGAAATCAAACAGGTTGTCCAACTTGCTTGTTCTGACACCTTTCTTAATAACATGGAGATGTATTTTGTAACTGCACTACTGGGTGCTGGTCCCCTCGCTGGTATCCTTTACTCTTACTCTAAGATAGTGTCCTCCATTTGTGGAATCTCATCATCTCAGGGGAAGTATAAAGCTTTTTCTACCTGTGCGTCT